ATATATATATATATATATTAATTGCAAACATGGCCAGTCTTGGCTTCCGTACATAGATGCCTATAACTTGAAACTGATTGCCAGATTTTCATAACATTAGGTTTGAACAATCAGCTAAATTATTTTATTTTATTTTAGAGTACTTTGTTTATGCTACTAGCAAATTACACTGTAACAACAGCCAAGTCACAGAATTTTAAAACAAAAAGGATAAGGGGCGCTCAAAGTGGTAAATAAGAAACTAAATACAATACACAAATAATAGAGACTAAACGAAAATACAATTTTGTGTGACAAAAATATTATATTTTATCCAATCTGTGGGTTGAACTCTTACTATTTGGATGCTTCATGACTTTTCCCCTTGTGCCTTGGTCAGGATATCATTTCTACAATATGTAAACTGCTGCGAAACAAAGCTACAAGGCTTTAAATCTTCTTACTCAAACCAAATTAGACCATGGTTAAGACGATGGACACCCTCTGTTTCATGCTACTAACAGTGTTAATAATGTGCCTCTCTTCCGTGAGATCAAGAGTATTATTTAGATTATGTTCATGCCTCTCATGGTTTGCATTCCAAACTGAAGACAGAAGGATTATCTCAAAACAAACTCAACCGGGGGTTGTTCCAAAGGGGGTCTTTGTCATCCTGCCGCTCCTCACTGTACCTCTATGTCATCCATTTGTAATACATATGAAAGTCTTTTTGGAGGCACTTGATCGTAACACGGGACACATGTTGAATTAATGACAGAGGGCAGTCGCTTAAGTGCCTAAATTAGTTTGATCCACTGATGGATGAGCAGAAGGTGTTAGAAACGAAAGGGTTGCCCCTGCCTCAGTATTTATTTTACTTGTCACTACAGGGGATTCACAGTTAGCAGGCTGATTGTTTTGACTGGCTACTTCCTCTCTGCAGCATGTTGCCTTACTGTCTGATTAGTACCATATGCTTTCTTTACTGGCAAAGGGCGATGAAAAGCCATAGAAACATGCAGGTTTTTAACGTGGCTGTATAGTAACTACCTCTACGTCCACAAAAAAAATAGATTCGGGTACAGATACCAAACCACACTTTTCCGATACTGTTACTTTATGGAATATAAACGAAAATAGAAATATGTGAGCAAAGAGAAATCTGAATAGACATCCGATGCTAGCTTTCATACTTTCGGTACCATAAATGTACTGTACCGAGGTTCAGTATCCAACCCAGTGTGGATGGGGGCTAGTACTAGTACTGCAATTAATATTAGCTTAGCTTAAAATTGTAGATTTGTTTTCGATGATTGTTGTCCAGGAAGACTTGAAATGTCTTGTTGTATCCGAAACAATCGATCAACAATTCAAAATCCAAAGATGTACAGTTTATAATGATATAAAACAGGAAAACCACATCTTCCCATTGGACAGGGGAATATTACATATCTGTTTTAGTAAATGCTATCAGTGGTGTTCTCTGTGCTGACTTCCAGACACATCACAGCAGTGTGTTAGTCTGATATGACTGGCCCAGTCTGCTCTGAGCTCCTCCTCTCCCCAGGGAGGCTAGCTTTACTAGGGCTTACTGTTTTACTGGCCCCTGCCTCTGTGGAAGAGCGGAGAAAAAATATCTGTAAGCCTCCACCTCTATTCATCAGCCCCGCTGACCTCAGCGAATCTGACACCTTTCCTCTTCTCTTGGGCGTTAATTTCACTTTTTTGATGTGGTTGACCGTTGTAATGAGACACAGGCAAGGCTGGAGAGAGAATAAATGACGGAGCGAGTGGGACAGGACTGAGGAGTATAATAGGAAAATAAATGAAAATCAGCTCCATGACTGTTAACGTGTTTGCCAGCTGTGAGTATCTTGGCAAGAAATGAAACATGTATTATTCAGTTGAGGATCTGGACAATGTACAGTAACACCACTAGAATGCTGTTACAAGCTGTTTGTTTATAGGCTTGGATAATATCAAGACTGCAGAGTGACTATAAGGAGTCCAAAACATGGATTGTTTATTGTGGTTAGAATGTAATGAATTAATGTGTTGTCTGGAAATGTGTAAAACAGTGTTTGACAGCAGATTTTTGTCTATTTGCAGAAAATATTTTATGAGGTTGCCTTTAATTTGAAACAGTATAGTCTCATTATGTGCCACCATGGCCCCATTCTTCAAACCCAGTTCAGCTAATTCTGGCTGACATAATGTCATCCAGATAAAACAATCTCATCCATTCTCATCCACATCATTTGGTTCTCTGAATGCACTTGGGGGTTTGATATGTTAATGTTGCATGAAGTTATCTCTGTTGCTCTCATTGTGAAATAAAGAAAATATGAAAGCCGAAACAACGATCAGCACTCCTATGATTGGCTGAGTGCTGATCACATGCACTGTGGCTACAAATCAAGTCCACAATTTTGCACCTGACCTGAAACATATCCAAGAAAAACCTACTGGAACCTGACTAATTTTCAAAAAAGAGACCCAATCCTAAAAGGACCCAAGGATAATTAGACCTGATCCAAAATTTGTTTGACCTCGACAGTCCCAGACAGTTATTTTGGTTAAATAGTCTTGATCAGATATTTTCTATCTGGCTGAGGACTTTTTTTGTTGGTTTTATCCTTGGGTAGTTAGGGAGTAACCTGACTGCGGCAGATATTTTGTTACGCAGAACAATCTGGCAAGTCATCGTTGGAAACTGTTTGGAAAAGGGCAGGCACCTCAAAAAAATACTCAGACTCCTACCGAAGCCAGTCGGGAGTAGAAAGAAGACATCTTTTCCATTAAGAAAAACGTTCAGTGCCATTCTTTGCCCTTCTTTCAAGAGTTGTTTTCTTGAAACCTGGCAAGATGGATTCCCTCGTGACTTTGTGATCTTGGAAGTCCAGCTGCCTCGCAAGGTTAATTGGGCAGTACTGTAAAGGCCATTTTCATACTCCTCAAACTATTCACTGAGGCCTTGTGCTCTGCATTATTTTTATCCACTACACTATTCAGCTTAACATGCCACATAAGTTATACCAACAATAATAATTCAAAGTGTGCAACCAGCTCGGTAGCTATCGTAGCTGCAGGTTTTACATAGCACTTGAAATTCAGATGTGCAGTTCAACGAGGATGAGAGGACAGAGTCTCTGTCTGTAAAGAGGTTAGACAAAGACTTCCTTGTATGAATATGCCACAGTTTTCCATTTCCCCTGTGGTGCCATAGCATACCACAGACATCAAGTATATCTTGAGTCACTAGCAAGTGATGTCACCACAGAAGTAGTTGAGTGCTTTTGGCATTGCACTCCTGTTTGCCTCTACAGCTATTCTGGGAAGTCCCACAGAGTCTCCCAATCACTATCTGTGACCGTTCAGAATCAGGAATCCACTCTGGTATTTTGGTCCTCAGATATGGGTTTCAAGGATGAGATGGATGAGAAAGGTGGAAAACAAAACTGGAGTTTGTCTTTGCTTTTTTTAAATCACACTTAATAAACAAAGGTGCTCTTTGGAGTAGAGAGCCATGCAAGCACGAGGAAATACAACCAGGGCAATCTGAGCTCTGAGTATACAAGATGAATGAGCTCTACAAGATAAGAGGAGAGCAGGATCAGCTAGAGACATGTTGCTGTGGAGTATCTGTCAATCAATGTCTCCATTGCCTTTATCAGTAAAGTCAAGCGATCAGTCATTCACCTCCTCCCCTATATCCCCCTGCTGATAAGTATTTTTAAGATTGTAGTTTTAGCTTTCAAAACAGTTGTCAGGGATATATGTATGTATCTATTTTTACATGTATAAACATGTTTCCATGTGTTTACATAACCCTCTTTGTGCCCAAATGCACCCACAAGGAGAACAATTTCAGTTTCATCTCTGTCTTCATCTCCATTCCTGACATGTATTGCATAACTCCAGCTCCATCAATCCACAGTTCAAGGCTATATGTTATGTGTGATAACCTTGATGTTCCTTGTATTCTCTCTCACCATCACTTCCTATAGGTGGACATGTTTTCCTATGGCATGGTGCTGTATGAGCTGCTGTCTGGGCGGAGACCAGCACTCGGACAACACCAGCTTCAGATAGCGAAAAAGCTCTCCAAAGGCATCCGGCCTGCGCTGGGCAGTCCAGAGGAGGTTCAGTTCTGCTGCCTCCACAGCCTGCTGACTGAATGCTGGGACACCAAACCCGAGAAGGTGAAATCCCTGCTTGTTGGCACAATTCTTTTTTTTTTCTCAGACACAGTGATGGATGAATGCACAGGTTTCCTTGTTTGCTTTGCTTTGTATGAAATAGACTGATGAACTGTGCTGCTCACAGTGTGGCTAAGGTGGTGGATAACCTGGGGCCCTATGAAAGGATATAAAAAAACATAATGAAAAAGTTTTCGTCACAAAGAGTAAACAAAACTGGTTGTGTTTGTGGGTGGGAAGCCCAAACCGAAAGCTTTAGTGTATTATTTAGTGCTATTAATAATTAGTAAGGTAAAAGAACGGCATTCATGTTCATCAACGTAAGAATGAACTGTGAGTAGTGGTGGACCAATATGGGTTTTTCAATGGCCGATAGCAGGGCTGCTAATGGCCGAATGCCAACATCACAACAAAGACAAGTCATGTATAATTCTATTCTGTTCTATAGGAAATTCAGGCGCTTGTGAGTGTTACAGCATGGGGCTCAAAATCAACTTTTTCACCACCTTCCCAAAACGCATAAGGTTGATCCCAGCACAGTGTCCGCTGATGTGTCTCAAGCAATGATATAAAAGATGGACGTTGCGTCTCCACTTTCTCCCACTGTACTATAATGAAGCCACATTATCCAGGATACAGCCAATGCCAGTCGGACCTATACTGCAGTCAGCCACTAGAGGGCGATCATCATGTTTTGGCTTTCTTTTTGGACAGCTGTCATGTTGTCCATCCTTAGATATGTCTGAAGACATTTTTTGTTTATTGGCCTTGTGAGTGCAGATATCGGCCAATGCTGATTATCTCAAAATGCTTGAAAATGGGTCTATTAGTAGCTGCGAGTATTATGAAATGCCAAGTTTATTGCCTCGTAGTTTGTCTGCTGAGAACAGCCTCATGGAAGTGATATTTGACAATTCTTCATTGTATAACCTTAAAAAAAGATACTCATTAAACCAAGAAATTCAGTGTTTTCAAAGTCTCCACTCAATGAATGTAGTCTGAAGTTCTCAGACTCTCATCTCCGGGCTTGTGGAGTCTCATTCTTATTCAGCTCATCCATCAAGCCTTAAAATCCCATCTGCTTTGATGAGAGTAGTGTCCCGCTGACAAAGGGACTCAACTCCTATCTTCACCGGTTTCAGGCAGGAGGTGAGCTGTTTTATATCTAACATTGCTTGGCTGTTAGAGAAGTCTCGCAGCAGCAACCCCGGAACACCAACAGAATGTGAAATCGGTGTCAGATTTATAGAATGATTTTGAACATCCCAAATGATTTGCTTTAACAAATTTCATTTGTTTATAAGAAGAACTGTCAGTTCCATGAGGCTATTGTCAGCAGACAGGTCACATGCAGTGAACTTGCTGTGATCCCAAATGTCGCAGTAAGCGACAGAGGTTTAGCAGTTTGGTCCGATGCAAACCTCCTGACTCCA